TGATGAAGCAAAATAGCTTATGAATTTGAATTCAATGACCCAAAATCTATAAAGAAGAATGCTTACTCTATACTTATTAATTAGAAAATTGTAACACTCTTTTCTGATAAGTTTCTGATAAGAATACAGCTTGCTCACCGAGTGATTGGTTCTTATTTATAGATCTAACTATTTATGTTCAATTGTTCTAATGAGCAAGATTGAGTTCTGAAATCCATCGAAAAAAATTATTGTATTTTTAATGCTAACCGTACGTGTGATTATGTTTCCATTACATTTTTTAATATTAATATTAAATTAATATTAAATATTATTATTATTCTTTATTTATATATATATTTTACATGGTAAAAGAAAATATTTTTTTATTACTGAGAGAGTTTTGTTATTGCATTTTTTTTTTTATTTGAGCGCAGAAATATCTAGTCTCGAGTATAATATTAACAAACTTAATATGATAAATTATTAACTTATGTACAAAAAAGGTATATCTTATTAACAAAGTTGGAACTAGACATTTGCGCTCGAGAAGAAAAAACGCCTCCTCCAGTAATAAAAAAATATTTTCTAATCAGTAATTTTTTAAAAGCAAGAGTATGTTTAAAAATAAGTCGAATTTTGCTTAAAAAGAAAAATTAAAAAGTCACTAACTTATGTAATTATTCACATATTACATAAGTTGATGTAATAATCTTTTTATTATTAATACGATTGCAAATAGTTTCGCTTTCTGTTAATTTTATCTTCTTTTTTTAATCTGATCAAGCTTTTCTTTCTATTTATCACATATACACACAAGCGGAAGTGCACTAAAATAGTGGAAAATTAGGAAACACCGTCTAGTGATTTAGTGCGTTTAGCACAGAATATATTGCGAATAGAAATAACCGAACAGAAGCGGACCACTGCAATGCGGAGAATGCTTTCCTTTAACTGATGCAATTGTCAACATATCATTAGCACGATGTTCGTAACACACTGATGATGCCATAGAGTAAAAATAAATGAAGATAAACGAACAGTTGTTAACATAGTCATATCAGTATTATTATTGACATTATTAATTAACTTCATCTACTTTTGTATCCAAAGTCAATACCAAACATTATTTATATGAGCAAAGAATATACGCACTGCGCTAACACTAATATAATTTATGATACATTAATAAAAAAATTATTAATTTTACTAAATTTAAATTTAGTTTTATTTTTTACATTTCTTTTGTTGGGAAATCTATTTAAGTTAAAAATATACAAAGTGTATCACAACTACTGCATTTCCTCTTAATGACTTCTTATTCTTAAGATAATTTTGTAACAAAAATTTAAATATAAAAATGTTGAAGCTATAATAGAGTTTTTAAATTAATGTAATTAAAATTCACTAATCACAGAGCTGATTCTTCGCACTCTCAGACATGACGATATAACAAGTGATAAAGACATCACGAGAACCCTTTTCTTAAGGATATTTTATATTTCAAAATGATAACAAAATTATGAAAAAAATTACAGATTATTCTTCAATCACGTTTAAAAATAATACGACAAATTTAGTAACGGTTTACTATCTGGATCATAAGCTATTTTAATAACAGTAGTATTAATCTGTGCTCTAATAAAAATATGGAAATATATTATATAAGATAAATAATAAAAATCTCAATTTTTTATAACACATTATGTGTTCAAGATTATTTACATAGAGTTACATTGCATGTATGAACTAGATCAGTATGAACTTGATTAGTAAATAAACAAAATATTTATTTGTTCTATTTTTGTAACTAATCAAATTGCAATGAAATTTAATATCTATTTCAAATAAATTATATACATATGAGATGTATTATTAAATAAAAATATAATTTTATTCACACAACTTTCATATGTATATAATATGTATATAATATGTATAAATCAAACGTTCTTTATTTGTTTCTAAGGTCAATGCTGTTTAAATTGCTAATTATGTAGCAATAATGTATACTTGAATTATTTGAATTTAAATTGTCATTTGAATTGCAAGATGATTCTGAAGCAATTTCAAGACGATAAAGTGATAGATAAGAAAGAAGATAAAATGAAACGATAAAAATAACTTCGTAATACCAGAAAAAAGTTGTTATATGTTGTATGAATAAATCAATTCTAAGTGTATCAGTTTGAAGTGTATAGATATTAAATATACTTCCAAATTTAATTTTCTTTGCAGGGATTTATATATCTTAACATGCAATAATATATTTTAGAAAATTGTTTCTGTTTCAGTATCAAATCTATTTATATGTTTTTATTTTTATTTATATGCATAATTAAAATCAGAATATATATTGCAAAATATTACAATCCATATCAGCTGTCAAAATAAATTCTTAACTCTATTAATTTTTTCATGACGTATGTATTATAAATATATTTATGATAATATCGATAAAAATTACTTTTGAGAAATTATTTGAATGTATTACTATTAAATTGTTAATTAATTTAATTTTTTAACAATTTTTTAATTAACAATTTAATTAATAATTGAAAAATATATATTTTTTAAATTTATGCAGAAATATTACTAAGCACCAAGATATGATTTTGATTCTTAATCTGTATATATTTTTATATTTCTAATTTTATTAAAAGTTATAATTTTATTAAAAGTTATACTACAATAATTATTACGAAATATGTATGTCATATTTTTCTTATGAATATCTTTTAAATTTAAATAATTAAGTATTATTAACTATTTAACTGTAATAAAAATGTAATAAACTTACATCAAGTGCGACATACATATTTCATAATAATTATTGTAGTAGAACTGTTTTATTCAAATAACAACTTTCTTCTGGCATTACGAAATTATTTTTATCGTTTCGTTTTATCGTCGACATAGAAATTCAAAATCATCTTACAATTCAAATGACAATTTAAATTCAAATAATTTAAGTATACATTATTGCTACATAATTAGCAATTTAAACATCATTATTAACCTTGGAAACAAGTAAAGAACGTTTGACTACATACTGGATGCTTTTTATGCTGAGTCTAGAGGACGTAATATACATAGTAGCTGATCATACATTAATTTCTTTAGTTTCAATTCACTTTCAATCATCCGGCACAGATAAATAGCATGTAAATGCATGAGAAACTATTCGCATATAAGCAACGATCTAACATTATAAATATTTAAATGAAAACTAAATCTTTTAGAATTAAAAAACTTTGTAACGTAAATTTTATACTTTTTTAATAATTCTAATATTTTTAGAAAAATTTTAAAAAATTTTTAAAAGATCTTTACATTTTTTGGAAAAATCTATCGAAATGTATATTTGTTAAATATTTCTTGATATTATTCGAAGTCAATTGGCTCAAGTGTTTTTTAAATATCATACAATTAATCGCATTTTCATTACGCTACCCACATTTTCCTGTTCGTCTAAAATGTACGCATTATTAGAAGAAAAAAAAACATGCCGAGAGGGCAAAAAATAGAGACCACGCATGAGCGAATGTTTAGTCTCGGGCAAGAGAAAGCGAAGAGGAATGAGGGACGTTATTCAGAGCCGTAGCAGAGTCTAGTGGATTCAAGATAGACGGATAGCGTGCCTGCCGGGCTGGTCCGGAAGTCGCGTGTCGACGGCAGCCATAACAGCCCCTCCGCGACTTTCACCCTTCCTCGACCTGAACCACTACCTCCCGCTTGATTTCCTTACCTGCTAGTAGCGACGACCAGCACAGCCTATCACGAATTTGTGCTTGTGTGCGCGAAATGTAATCCATGCAGGTCAAAGATAAAGGAGTATTGGTGCAACGTTGCCCTAACGAACCATGAGAACGAGTCGGCGATTGGTCGATCCTACCAAGCGAGCGAGGCCTAAAGGGAAACAACCCTCTCGCCTCTTCTAAACTCACTCTGGGTTACATACCGTCTTCAGAATCGCCAGGCTGATCGTGCAGTTAACACTTATTTGGTGCTGTTAACATTTTCATTCTATACAACTGACTAAATAGTAAAATAATTAGTGCGTCTACTGCAGGGACTTTTCGCTTGTGTTAAGATAATATTCTCATACAAAACGCGAAGTTTAACGAAAGTCACTGAAAGAGTCGTTACGATTAAGTTTTAATTTTCTTCTTGCGATGTTTGCGCTTATGTTTGCATAGAGATCCTAGTCAACATCAACTAAAAATGACATTAATGTTATAATTTTTTAACAATACAAATATAATAACAAATGTAATAACACATGAGATTACGTAACAGTTACATTGTTGAGTGCGAAATTGTAACATTACTTTTAATTAATGTTGACTGGAGATATTTTAGGAATTAATAAATTCTAAAGCGCATAATTGCGAATATTTATCGAATTTTCAGTGATATAATTACTTGCAATTTTGTACAAATATTAAATTCGCGAGAAGATTATGCTTTAAATGTAACAACCATTTTTAGTGACTTTCCGCATAACAGGAAATTATAACATTGTGTCATTAGTTTGTGTTCCGCGGGCTCCATTAAGCCGTGATAAGATTAGAGATTAAAATTGAGATTGAATTGAAATTTAACCAATTAGAAGAAAGAAAATTAATCTCAAGTTTAATGAACTTTTGATTAGTTAAGCCTTTTGATTGATTAAATTCCAATCTTTAGTTTGATCACTACTTTAACCTACTTTGCGTTTCCTATGAAAGTATCGCTTTAAATGGCTTAAATGCTTCAGATGTATCAATCCAATAATACATTTGAAGGATATATTTTTCGCCTTTATTATAAATTTCAATTCTATGCAAAATTGTTTTTTTTTCCATAAAGTTTTCTCACTTCTCGGTAGCTCTCAAAATCGCTCAAAATCACTTAAATGTGAGCATCTTCTATTCTGCCAAGTATATATCACAAATGGAAAGGTATATCTGCCCGATGGCCGTATAATTTCTCGCTATGCTATATACCCTCAATTGTGTGCAATTTTGAACAAGAGTGAGTCACTCAAACGAATCATGCTACGCGAAGGGATACGTAGCATAGCATGAGCAGTAATAACAAGAAGCCATCAGGAGGCAAGGACGACAAGAAGAATCCTTCCAGTAAAGAGGACAGCCCGTCGGGCGGTAAGGACGATGGTGGTTCAGCCTCAACGGGAAGCAATGGCGGTGCCACTGCAGGAGAACCGTCGCAGCCCGGAAGTAAGCCCAGCTCCGCCGGAGCGACCGCCAGAGAAGGGGCCCAAAGACTTTTGGGCCTGGCGGCACGCGGAGAATGGGCCCCTGTGGACCAACTGCTCAAAACTCTGGAGAAGACGGTGCAGAGCGCAGGAGAAGATGGCTTCATCGTGCCGCTCGCCGGTGTTTTGGATACGGTTAGTTTCCTCCATATTACATCAAAAATATCAAAAAAGTTAATAAGAGAATTAAGGATTACACAGAGAATTAAGGATTACAAAATTAAGTATTTTTTAACAAATGAAAAATTAAATTTTTTTTGTATTATATTGGAAAGTAATAAAACAAAGAAAGTAAACAGCAAGTTTAGCGATTTAAAGACTGGATCAAAAATTATTTTACAATATAATTAATAGACATGTTTTTTAAAAAATAATTGAGATATGAAATGAAAAAAATTTCATTTAATTGAACAGTTCATTAAACAGTGACTACGGTTGAATTAAATAAAATTTGTTAAATTAATTAAATCTGCAAACAATTAAATGTGTTTAGTTAGTTGAACAAATTTCTTTTTTTCAATGTGTGTATACAATTATTATTTTCATATGAAAATTAGTAATAAATTTCCAATTCAATAGACTGCTCAGAGCGTGAAGATATATTTCTGATAAGATATTTCTGATAAGAGATATTTCTAATACTACTAAGATATATCTTTTTTTGGTACAAAAGAGATCAATTAGATTTAGAAATAATTAATTATTTTTAGAAATAATTGCGAAAGTAATGTTTCCATGTATAAAATACATCCTTGTGCCGCTGATTATGAACAGTTATGAAAAAATCACATATAACAAATATATTTTCTTAGACAAAGATTTTTTTTATTTGTAGACGACGGGGATGACGCCGTTAATGTACGCAGTGAAGGATAATCGCAGCGCGCTGCTCGATCGGATGATCGAGCTCGGATCCGACGTAGGCGCCAGAAACAATGCAAGTATTATACGATAAATGAGACAAATTATTTGATAAATCAAGAAACTTGTCCATCTTCAATAAAATTCAAGAAAACATAAATTACTTTGTAAAACATAAATTACTCATGAGAATAATATTTGGGCGAATGATTGTTTTTTGAGATATTCCATTTAAAATCAAGGTAAAAACATTTGATTCATCGTTCTTTGATTCATTACCGTCGCGATAAGTTCTCATGCTGAGGTTACGTGGCACTGGCACGTAATAACATCCGCAAAGGTGACGCGTGCTACGAAACGTGTACAGCTAATGATCAGATCGCGATTTGTGCTAACAATAAGTCGAGTCACTATAAGGTAGAGAAAGATTGCGTGAAGGAGAGACAAGGTCAAGGGGCTTATGCTTACTGATCGACTGGACAAAGACAGGCATGTGTAAATGGATAAGTAGGCCGCCGAGTCAGCTAACTATCAGCCATAATGAACAAAAATTCCGATCCTAAAAATAGATAAAAATTTAATCGTTAAATCTTAAAAGTTGTCCGTCAATGGCTCCTATGCAACGGCATTTTACATTTGACATCTCGGGCAGGGGTTCAATTATGTAGCGCACTCGGTGTAACTTTCTGAAAGTCATTAAGAACGCCACCGCAAGAACTCTATAGTAAAATTTATTGATTTCAAATGTCCTTACGAAGAAAGGAAAAGGAAAAGAATGTCGCGTTATTTAAAATCTTCGATGTAGGTGGTCTTATGACCACACAGTGGTGTAACATCTTATGACTACAAGAATGATTTTTCTTCTAAAAATTTAGCTTTCAGACAATCTGAAGATAATATTGTAGAATCAATCAAATAATTATATAAGTTTAAACAAGTTGTTAAAATATCAAAATTTTTTGCAGCAGCTTTCATCATATTTGAGACACAATTATTTTGATAATCCAATCAAATTGTTTTTAGACCTGTATCTGGCTAAATGTTTAAATATTCCAGTAAAATCATTCTTTCCATGTAGTTGTACACATTACAATCTTTGTTTTATCTGATTTTAATTAAGTAATTTAAATAACCGACCATAATTCTTTTCTTTTTTCCATTCTACTCTTATTTGATTTAATGAATGATTTATTAATAGGAGAAGTAATTCTTATCAACGAGAAATGTGTGTAATGATTTAAAGAAATTACGCAGAAAATTTATGGATTATTTCCGTGTCTTGATACATCATTAAATTTTATTCATTTCTATATTGATTATATTTATTTCTATTTGATTATACATGATGATACATGATGATTAATATATTATAAATAAAATTTAATGAATTTCAAAATCGTTTGCGGAGGTAACCCATCAAATTGCATAACTTCTCTGATAAAAATACATAAAGCTTTAAAAATATTATTAGATATTATACATGTAATTAAAATTATTATTACATTAGTGCGCGAAGAGCTTGTGTTTTCTACGATTCATATTACTCCTTTTGTGTTATGAGTGATGTGCCGTTAACTATGTTAGCATCACTTTGCAAACACGTGCAAGGCGTTGCATATTCGCTACTATCGATCTACCACTCCCACAATGATTCCAATATAATTTTCAAATAGCACGCTGATATACCGTGATCAGAAACTCGAAACTTGAAACATCATAAGGATTCATCCGACAGGTGCGGCAGGGCAAAACTCATAACTTCATTACTGTTGTACTTATTTCCATAATGTTAGTCTCATATGTTGATTACTGCTAATTCATTGCCTTCCAAATATTATTGATATGCATATTATTGACATATTTTCTATAGGATAATTACAATGCTCTTCATATCGCTGCTATGTATTCGAGAGAAGATGTCGTTAAATTATTGCTGTCCAAGAGAGGTGTTGATCCTTATGCCACAGGAGGGGTACGGATAAATAATTTTGTAAAAAAACATTGTAGTGATTTTAGAATAAAAATAATAATTGTAAAATTTAAAACTATACTTTGAAATGATATTCTTTAGAAAAGAGTTTACTTTGAATTATTTCAAACGATTTAATCTGCTTAGTCATAGACTAAGTTCTCCGACTAATTAGATTTCAGTTTAGATGTTTTTAGAATTTTAATTTAAATCTTTTGGCTATTTTACTTGATTTCTACGATTTTTAAATAACAAGCTAATTATGGATTCGAGCGTTAGAATGGACTAAACTTTCTATTTAAATTATCTTATTTAATAAACATCCGCTTCTTGAAATATATTCATGTATTATTCGTAGCCAAGACAACAAACGGCAGTTCATCTGGTAGCATCAAGACAAACGGGCACCGCTACGTCGATCCTACGAGCTCTTTTGGGTTCTGCTGGACGTGACATCAGGCTAAAGGTCGACGGAGTAAGTAGCAATCCCGAAATAATTTTACAAAACTGCATAAAGGGCAAATGAAAACTTAATTAAATGCATAAGTTTGAGGGATCCAATATTGTCAATCGAGTCGATCTTTTCAATATAACGAGTTAATAGTATCACCATAAGGAGATTCATGTCGGCCCCCGAAACTTCAAATTAGATAAAGATTTTTCTGTAATAACCGCGGCGTGATGCTCCCATTTCGCGTCCGCGTTTCTCGCGTGACAGGTGCCGCGCGCCGAGAGATCGCTACCTGGTACCGAACGACGCCATAACTCTTCTCTAGTTCGCTTTTTCCTCCCTGTCTCCCTTGCCCTTTGTCATACAATCCCGTCGCAATAGTACGACGCTACATTGGGGAGGAATCCGGCCTCGTCGTCAGTATGGAAAAAAACAACAAGGATTTATGTTATATCGAGTATCGAACCGATGCATATTTAGACATTTGACATAAGCACGAAAAACTCTCGTGTCATGTGTTACGATAATACTTGTCGAAATACTTCTTTGTACAAAATATTAATCCTTAATATACACGATTGAAGCATTTGTATACTATTTCTTTTCTTTAAAATATTAGGAACATCCGGCTAAATAACTCTTTCTATACTTTTTTAAATGTACAATTTTATAAATATAATATTTTAAAGATGTTAATGTTTACGTAAAAATCACTTAATGATTTTTGCATATTTATAAAAGTAATAAAAATCAATCCATAATGCAAACGATCTAGCTATTGTAATAAAAGGAATGGAAAATCGTCGCGTGCATTACCTAAGGATTAGTAAGAATAAAGAAAATTAATGGCAATGAATGTATGAGTATTACAACTACTCACTAAACAGAAAATTATATTAATTTAATGTGACGTTGGCTTTACAAGATAAGAATCAAATCATATTGTTACTTAATATTGAAACATCGAATGAACCAAAAAGATTAAAAATGTAAAAATATGTTTTTTTCTGAATTAATTAATCAATTTTAATTTTAATCAATTTTACGATTTTATCTTTTTCCCAAAGATTATAATTTAAAAAGACAATAGTGTACACAGTCGGAAAGAATATAATTAATTTATTATTTTTTATTTATATCTATTTGAAAATAAATATATTTCTAATTTTCTTAATTGACTCGTATCATTG